GTTGCTGTGAGCTAGGCTGACGCCACGGCACTCTAGCCAGGGCAACAGAGCAAGACTCTGACTCAAAAAAAAAAAAAAAATGAAAAATAAATGCAAGAATTGTGTGTGGATGTGCCTTACTTGGGAGAAGAAAGTCTATACTTTTCATGAGATTCCAAGGGAGCTTGTAAACCAAAGATAAAAGTCACTCAAAACCACTGATCCAGTCACTCTGAAGTTGACACACTCCAGAATAGCACATAACTGTCCCAATTATTTAATATCAACTTTCGAAAACAATAAGCTAAACTCCAATAGGGTAACAGCTGAACTTCTGGTGTGTTGACCTTGTGTTCCCAAACTAAAGGGTTTTAATTAAGCAAATAAACAAATAAACATTAAGGACAGTTATAGTCCTCTGTGGAAGGTGACGTAAACACATCAAAAGGGAACACTTTCATTTTTGTTGTTTCTAAGCACCAACTCTTAGTTTACCACTGTTTTAACTTATTAAATGAACTGTTTCCTTGAGGAATTCTGGTTATTCCCTTCATAGGAAACTACTGCCCTCTTCTCTCCTTCAAAAGGTCATAAGCTAATAAGAGGTGAGGGAGCATGTCATAAGCCTCCTTGCCACAGGTGCCTGGCACAAAATTTAGCTCATGCCTGTAAAGCTAGCACTTTGGGAGGTGAAGGTGGGAGGATCACCTGAGGCCAGGAGTTCAAGACCAGCCTGCGTAAGAGTGAGACCTCATTTCAACGAAAAACAGAAAAATTAGCCAGGTGTGGTGGTACACACCTGCAGTCCCAGCTAATCAGGAGGCTGGGGCAGGAAGATCACCTGAGCCCAGGAGTTTGAAGTTGCAGATGAAATGATGATGATGAGACTCCCATCTTCACCAAAAAAAAAAAAAAAAAAAACAACGACATACAAGAAATCTCAATTAAAAAACTTGCCTTGGCCATTTACTCCATTGATTTAGCTAAAAGGCAAATTAAGTTTCTATCACATATTTTCATTATAATAGAAATGTAACATTTTAGTGCAGACCAAGACAAGCCTACTTTTTGCAGAGTTTTCTAATTAAAAGTGAAATTGTGCTAGAGCCATATATACCAAGTTATTCAAATTGACTTATTTATCTAAAAAGTGGACTCTCAGGCTTTGTCAGTTGCTACAAACCAAAAGCAATGTTAATTACAGGGAGAAAATGTGTATAGCCGTTGTTTTAGACACAATGGTGAGAACTGAGGGGTTTTTTTTTGGGGGGGGGAGTGGTCATAAGTAAGTTCTTGCTCAGAAGTCAGTAAATGGATGTTTTATACTATCTTAACATGGAACTATAAACCAAAAAAGAACCCTGACATTTAGAACATGCTTAAAACTGTTTCTTCAGAAAAAAATGCCAGCTTTCCAAGTATATACAATGCAATTTCCATCTGCTTTGTAGTGAATTAAATAATTGGTACACAAGTGTGGCCTCTAAACATGCAATTATGTGACAAAATTGTGGGTCCCTGCCTTAAACATCTACCATCTAATTTAATTTGAAACAAAAATCTTACAAATTTACTAAACAAAATTTCCTAATTCAAAGGAGGGAAGCTGAAGTGAATCTCAGCTTTGAGAGTCTATCATTTCATTTAAGCAAAAAGAGGCTTTAGAATTTTACCTGTTTTGGCCTGTTTTGTTTTATCCAAAATTTCTAATTTAGCATTAAAAATGATAATGAGGAAGCTAAAGCTCCAAATAACTTGTTCTAATATGTCTGTGTGGCACAAAAGAAAGGCAAGCAGGTAAAACATGAAGTAGTAGCTATTTAAAATAACTAATAAAGTTAACAGCCAATTGTGAATGAACTACCAGAATGAACACTGACTTCTAACTACCAGAAGGATTTGGAAACGATGGAACAAAATATATTACTTTGAGTAGTTGTAAATAAGCAGCTCTATCTTAACTGTTCACTTTGCTAAATTACTGTATCCATTCTATTATCAACTCTTGATGTAGGCATTAAATTCAATTTTGAGCATCACAGCAGTCTATTTTCATTTTCATTACCAGTATCACACAGAATTTTACCTTTTTTTACACATTGCCCTTTCCACTATAAATTCAGATGGAAGAGCAAAAATGTTACCAGGACATAGCTAGATCAGAATTTAGTCACTTTAAAAAGGCACCTTCAGAGAGTTACATAAGACTGAGACAAAGAGAAGTCTAATAAATTCTACTGATGATTCTGATTTTTAAAATAAGGAGACATGTTAGTGTAATTTTAGGCTTGAAACTTTAATCCAGGATGTTCTTGCACATAGGAGTACTAAGCTTAACCCTGGGCATACTTTCAAAATGAGTTAGGTGGAGTTCACTGATTCTTACTCCTTCAAAGGGCCTTCAAGATGAGGCTCATGATTTTTAAAGAAAACACTACAGAACAGATAATCAAGATGGAAACCAAAGATCCTAACATGGTTCAATCAATGCTCCTTTTGCTAAAGAAGGGAATTCCTAAATTTTGTACTCCTTACAAAATTCTGGTGATTTACCAAATCCCTACAGAGTACATTAAAGTAGTAAGGCTGTAGAGGACAAGTTTTTCCAACGAAAATATTTGTATTCCCTGAAGAAAATAAAAGAACACTAATTTTATAATTAAATAGAATTTAAAGTAAGTCAAAGTGTTTATCTTCAGTATTCCGTGCATTAACAACATTTATTCCCAGTGTTACGTTGACATTACTGATGATATTTATAAACAAAAAAGCCACTCAATTAAGATAGTTATTTTTATCATTGAAGGGTAGAGAAAGGAAATCAACACTTGCTAGGAAGTTGGAAAGCAGCTGACATATTCTATGAATTGTATACTTCTTCAATTAAAAGGTTCTGGTACAAACAGCCAAAAGACAATGTGAGGAAGAAAAAGTCAAATTATGAAATTGCTGGTCTCTCCAGAGTAGACCTGAATTTCTCCTTTTACGAGAAGGCATCCCACACATTCAAAACATATGAGCCTGAGGAAATTAATATTAATAGTACTGTTCAGTACTGGAACAGTAATCACAGACACACAAATAACAATGGCAGCTACCACTTACGGAGCTGTCATTGCATGCAAAACACAGCTCTAAATGCTTTATGTGGATTATTTTATTTCATCCTTACCACAATCCCATGAGGTAGATACTATTAATATCCCTATTTTACAGAAAGGAAAACTGAGATGCAGGGAGATTAAAAGACTTACTTTAACTTCAAACCCAGGTCTTCAGTCTCCAGGGATGAAGCTCTTCAGTACTACATTGTATACTAGCCTCATAATTATTTACTATATTAAGATATTATTAAGATTTCATTCTTTTTCAGAAGTTACTATACTGCCAATTCTTTTTCTGCTCTACAGTGTTCATGAAAAAGCAGGTAAGTTAATTTTTAATTAGAAAAACTATAAACACAATATTCACAGAGAAAAAAGAGGTCCAAGTCTATCAATGTAGAAATGCTCACTTCTTTACCCTAGTTTCATACATATGTGAAAATCTGTTTAGAAACAGAATTTTATTTGCACATGGCCTCCTATTTTTAAAAAATATTCTATTGTATTGTTTTACCTACTGGCAAAACTGAAGCTAGATAAAATATGGAAAAATATTCCATTAAATACATAAAGAGTGAGAATTAAACTGAGTCATACATTCTTTCAAAATGTGAAAACAGGCCAGGCACAGTAGCTCACAGCAGCTTGGAAGGTCAAGGTAGGAGGATCAGTTAAGGCCAGGAGTACTAGCCTGGGCAACATAACGAGACCCTGTCTCTACAAAAAATGAAAAAAATTAGATGGGCACAGTGGTGCATGCCTGTAGTTCTAGCTACTTGGGAGGCTGAGGCAGCTGGATAGCTTGAGCCCAAGAATTCCAGGCTACAGTGAGCTATAATCATGCTACTGCCTTCCAGCCTAAGGCAATGAAGTGGAACCCTGTTTCAAAAAAAAAAAAGTGAAAACATAAATTATATCACAACAGAATGATTATCACTAGTTCTATGAAAGTCACTTTACCTTCTTCCACATAAAATACTACGGAAAACAACAATTCGCTAGAAAATATTTTATTTTTCACTTTGATGCAAAAGGAGAGAAAAAAGTGAGGAAGGAGCCTAAATAGCACAATGATGTGAAAAGAGCTCTTTTATTCAGTGCCATTAGACCTTATAAATTTGTTCTGCTCCTGGCTTTATCACTAACTCTGCTCCGTGACCATGTCAATAACTTAATTTCTCTGGGTTTGGTTTCTTCATCTGTAAAGTCAGTGAGTTGAACAAGATAACCTCTTCGGACTTTTCAGGTCTACAAGTCCACAATTCCGAGTCAAAGGACTACTACTGATTGTTTAATTGGATACCACAAGGTGAGTAAAAATTTCCAGTAAAAAGACTATTTACTATTTTGGGCACAGGTATATAAACCTCTGGCTGAGAATAAAATTTCTGCCACAAGAGTATAAGATTAACAGGAAACAGACATTTTATCCAAATATACTCGCAGTGTTCCATAGGCGTGTAGATCTGCTCTTAGGAAACAAAGTTTTCACTTGTCCTTACCATATTTCACGTTTCTCTACTGTATCACTAACCAATAAAAGAAATTAAATGCATGTTTGAAAACCAAAATGTTCTATGTTTTAAGGAAGGGCATAATTTTGTGTTTCAGGTCTTAAGTGACTGCAAATGTGCAGTGAACCAAACATTTTATCTCTGCCTTACCAGGCTGCACGAGGAAGTGAGGAAAATCATCAAGAACTGTTCCATGCTACAAGATATGGCAGTAGGCCAACCATCTAGCACCTAGCACCTAGCCTGGTCAACCAGAGGTAAAGATTAAGTAAATTAATACTTATAGAATGATGACTACTGGGTATTAGAAACTATAAAAAGTGTTTTCACATATGGAGTATTAGTCCCGTTTCACCAATGAGGACATTCTGACTCAGAGTGATTAATTTGGCCAAGGTGACACAACTAGTAAATGGTCGGGCCAGGATATAAATGCAGGTGTTCAGACTTCCAGGCCACTGCTCTTAGTGCTACATTATGCTAAAGATGATTAGTCAAATGGTAACACAGCTGCAGTGATTTAACTCTTAACAGGTCACAGGTCAAGCAGTATACTGAGTAGAATGAACCCTTTAGGACACAGGAATATACCTGAGAAGTGGGGTAGGGGATGGGGTGTTGGCAGGGGAAACAGAAAGTGATGCAAATAAAGTCATACCAGAACAGCATCCTCCAAAAGAATGCAAATCATTTACATCCTAGTCCAGCCATTCAAGGGTAATTCTGGAAGCTTTGCATAAGTAAATAATTCCTACTTTTAGCACATTTTAAGTCTTATAGTAATACGCATGATCGACAGGCACTGTGAATCATAATGGAAGGCAAGTAAATATCTTTCAGCTCTAACAAGACAAAGTGATGATTTTTTTTTAATAAACTGCCTTTCAGAGGGATAATTACCATAGTTGGTATATTATCTGTATAAGTGCACATCCATGTATGTGTATATATAAATGCATTAGCATCCTCGGAAGCATAAAAATAAGCACATTATCTGACTCACTATATGAACATCTATTGAGTGTTTTTTTTTAAACTTACCTTAGATGAGACTATTCTATTATCACAAAATCTTTGTGCAACGTAAGCTTCTGTTTCCAAAACTGGATGACTGCCAACAAACACTGTACGTGTACCAACTCGTTTCTCTTCTCCAGCACACTGACCAAGAGAAAGAGGAAAAAAGTCAGTCCTTCATCACATTTCCCCATGCTTTTACCAAGCTCAAAATTCTTGTCTAAGCATATTTGGCTATAATCTGGGGAGAAAGTAATAGGGAGAGGAGACAACCTTGTTAGGAAAGTCAAAATCCACTAAGCTCTTACTTGCTGATTTAGTAAAGATTAGTAAAAGTGTTGCTTGAACCAACTGTTCTGAGGCCAAAAGTGCAATTCTAAAATGATTAAAGAAAATATCCTAGAGAAACAATATTTTTACTACCAGTCATTTTTCTTTCATCCACAGCCCAAATGAACCTCAAGCATCACCTTCACAGCAACATACTAACTTAGAAAAGGTTGGCCTGGGAATATTTATTATACAACTACTGAGTACAACCTTGTCACCTACCTTACCAGACAGCAGAAACACAATGCAAATTACTTCTGAACACAAAAAAAATTACTTATAAGTATACAGGTCATAAATAGAATGGCTGTCTCTATTAATGGAAAGATCAATGATTTCTACAAAGAAACTGTAATTCTTTGGCTTTACAGAAAAGAATTTCTTTTACAATCTCTCAGAGCCTACTGTCATATACTCCCATTTTACAAATATATTTCTAATGCCCCTTTTATATTTTTTTTAAAAGCAGATTTGCTGAATCTAAAAGTCCCACATCACCCTTTAATTCTGCTGAGGCTTCACTGTTGTCTTCTCTTAAATCAGGATAATACACTTTCTTATATAAATTTGGGATAGTCTCCTTTGATGGTACTATATTACCATGTCTGAGACTACCAAATATTTAAGTCAAAGGAAGTATGATAGAAACCAATATTCATTTATATGTTTCCAGTATTTTTAAAAGATGATTTTCCAACCTAAAATGTTTTAATACATGTAGCCATAAAGATTTTCCTTCCTTTCAATGATCTATTTAAAGGTCAAAGATATAAATCCCCACCCTCAAAATAATCATTTTTAGCAAGACTACTTATAGCTTCCAAAGTTTTCCAAATGTCTACTATGTTTGGGTGTATTCAAGTCTGAATCTGTGTACCTTATGCAAATATTATACAGAAAATTATTTCTTAGTTTAAAAATTTAAAATTGCCCCAAAGTACAGATAAAATCTCTTTGCCTTTCCATTTTCATTTAAGCTTGTGACATTTAGTGGGGTGTTGCTTTCCAAATTCCTAGGGAATCGCTCAAAGTAATTGGGATAAATTGAAGTAGGAGAGAGATTCAGGCTGTATATAAAGGGTAACATTTGGAGAGCTAACCTGGCATAGGCTAAGGGAATTTGTGGAATCCCTGGAGATCTGGAAAAAGTCAGTAAGTAACTGTGATGGATAGCTTAACTATTTTCCTAACTGCCCAAAGATAGGGAATTAGAACACCTGATTGTTCAAGTTCCTCTGTAGGCTAAGAGTAAGTGATTCACAGGCAAATTTTCAAACAGTTCCTGGAAACCAGCAAACAATATCTTTACCAGATGGTAGATTTGATTTAGGGACTGAAGTCTCTGTTTGCAACTGTAATATACAGGATCTGACACAGCTTACTGATAAGAGCACTGAATTTTCCATAATATCCATTTTGCAAAACTTAAACTGAAAGTGAACACACCTGTCAGATGTATAGTTTATTTGGTTTCAGCGCTACTCCCACCTTCTGTTGCAGGGTAAGACCTTTCTGTAGTCTCCACAGCAGACCTGACCCTTATAATGTACCAATCTGAATTACAAAAAATGTCAAGTCCATGTATACTGTGCAATTTACAACCTTTAATTTAATATTCATATGGCTGTTTAGTTTTCCACACAAGCAAGAAGTGGCTGTAGAGTAAATAAGGAAGAGTTACCTTTTATGCAAGTTCTCAGGTCATGCTACAAAGTAGAAAGGGGAAGAGGCAAAGGAGGTAGAGGGTCAATGAAGCACTATGTTTCCTACTCTGCCAATATAGATTAATTTCCCCCTCAACAGTGGCTACTGATTAACTTAAAACAAAAATGAACTAGTACTTCCCCAATTCTGAACCATCTTCAACATTCTTCTGTGCAAGAGAATAAAAGGAAGAAAAAAGCATAATGCAATTTTTATGCATATTTTTATGAATTCCCTACATTTGAATGGCATTTATAGTTTTATTAAGAGCTTTCCTCATGTATTATCTCTCTGATCTCTTTTGAAGAAGGCCTAAGTGACCTCTATCTCCATTTAATTGGAGAAAATGGATTGAAATTACTGTGCAGGGGAGTGTGTGTGTGTGTGTGTGTGTATGTGTGTGTGTGTGTGTGTGTGTGTAGATCATGGCAATGATTGTTGTTAGATGATAAAATAGAGGCCTGAAAGAAGCTGCAGAATGTCCACTTCTGAACATTTTTCAAAATAGTGCAAATTCTCCTTGGCCCAGGCAGGTTTGGCTTTAGAGGTGTCCGAGGACTAGGGACGGGTTGGGATGAAGCAGATGACTTTTCCATGCCTGTTTCACCCTAAAATTTGACGAACCTGCAATTTCTGGTGGAATTTCCTACAGCTGTGTAATACTGTTTGGTTTACATAAAAATGGCAATGCTGAACTCACATGTAAATTTTCTGTAATTTTCCACTTGCTGCCAATATAACTGTTAAAACTGTGTTATTTCCTGTGATCTTGAACAATGTACGTGCCTGTGCCAAAGCAGAGAAAACTCTATGCGTCCTCACTGAAAAAAATTTCCCATTTGGATGGCACACAGTGTAGTCTAGAGTGGGAGTGTAGGATTCCTGCTACCTTGTGATGAATTTTAACTCATTAAGAATCCATTCTGTACCGAACTGCTTCCCATCCAAACGTCCTTAAGAACAGCATTTTTTTAAACTTGAAATATGCTGGCGCCAACTCTACTTTAATGACACATCACATACTACATCTAAAGTATGGCAAATATTAAAAAGCATATTTACAATATAAGAATTAATAGAGAAAGGAATTTAAAGTTCCTCCTCAAAATAAAAATTACCCTTTGTACTCCTGATTTATACCTTCACAGTATAAGCTGAATATTGTTTTATAAAAAGCTAGTAATTTATACCCCAAAACAGCCTCTCAATAAAAATCTAACACAGTAAAATGGTACTCTTATTCAACCGGTATTGTCTTAAAATCCTGTCTTCCCTAGTTATAAAAAATGAAAAGCTGCTGGAAGCATAATTTGTTTTTTGATTGCCTCCAGACCAGTGACTAGATAAGAACTGAAGAAAAATAGAGACCTCAATACAAAACTGTCACTACAAAAGCTGGCACAGGATCTGAAACAAAGCCTACCTCTCCATGCTTTCCAGGTGTTCGAGGACTTAAATTTATCACTTAGCCATAGACCTGTGATTCTTAATCCTGGCCACACATCAGCTTTAAATACAATACTGATGCCTGAGGCTTTCATTTAATATTTAATTTTTTTGGAAGTTTCCCAGGTGACAATTCTAATTTGCAACCAAGGCTGAGAATTACTTCCCCAGACTCTCTCTTTCAGTCAGGGATTGCCCTTAACTAATATTCCACAAGTTTTTAGTATACCAGCCATAATCCTACACTTTGGGGAGGGTGGGAAGGAGCGAGGGATGAAAAATTACCTGTGGGGTACAATGTACACTACTTGGGTGATGGGTGCACCAAGAACCCACACTCCGCTACTATACAATATATACATGTAAAGAAATTCAACTTGTACCCCCTAAATCTATTAAAATTTAAATTTAAAAAAATCCTGGACTTTTTAAATAAAATAACTTTAAAAACTTGCTTTTCAATGAATAAAAATACAAATAACCCATAAACAATGTCCCCTCTAACCATTTTAAGCTGCTCACAAAATGAGATTCTCTTTCAATACTTCATTTTGCATGTAGTTAATGTCTCATCGATAAGTCGGACCACTGATAATGAAAATTGCAGGCCCTGATATAATACAAAGCTACTTGGGTTATCAGCAAATAATCTTAACTGATGTAATCCGTGGCAACTACAGCATTATGTGTATTGGTCATGGAACTGCTCTCTGTGAATTCCTATTACAAATTAAAAGTATTTGCTCAAAAATGAACAAAAAGAATCCTCATTACAATCTGAACACTTGGCAATGGTTTAAAACTGTATTCCACACCCCAAGCCAAAGCTATTTTCTTCTCTAAAGCATTAGGATTTTTGAACAGCATAGTGTCTTTAAAAGGCCAAATGAATTCAAAATCGAAAGAGTATTTCATAAAATTTCAGATGTATATTGAAATGCTCCCCCAAAAGTTAGCATTTCTGTACTAGGGCTGGGAGGGGGAGCGTGGTGGTATGCAGGGAGGAGAGCACTACACTGCCAGGGAACATTTCCAGTGTATTAAGCTTCTTGGTTAAAATTGCTACAATGTATTCAGTGGTCAAAATGCTTGAGGTTTCCAAGTTCATTCCATTATAACAAGTGAAGATGAATAATCTTGTGTAATTTAGTCATAACTCTAAAATGATCCTTAAAATTGCACTTTTCAGATTTTGCTTTTACTGCAACTTAAGTGATTAAGTTGTCTCTCCCTCTTTTGCCAGAGGAAGTGAAGCAAGACTGAGATAGAACACTTTGTGTCCTTTTGCCTTTAAAGCTTAATTACAGTCATTTTTAACTGAAATTCTCAAACACCTGACCAAAAGACAACTGAATATACAAAATTCATCCCTAGACACAAAGATTGTCTCTAATTAGGCATTATCCAAAGGCAGCACATTAAATTGAATTAAAATTGCTACAGGAATGGATATTAAGCCTCACATAAACAAACATGTAAATCAGCAAGCACAATACTTAAGAAAAAGCATTGACCATGAGGACTTGGAAAATGCCTTGTTTGGAAGCTCAGAGTTGGACTTTCATTATCTCAGTGTGAATCACTGAGCCATTTAATTTCACCAGGGACAATCAATTCTAAGTGTTCCCAATCTGATTCCCCTCCCCGACTATGTTGTCACCCCA